TGGTGTGTGTGTGTGTGTGTGTGTTGTGTGTGTGTGTGTGTGTGTGTGTGTGTGTGTGTGTGTGTGTGTGTGTGTGTGTGTGAGTGTGGTTGGTGTGTGTGACTCAACAATCAATATTTGCACCAATAACTCATTACAGTTGTGACCGGGTATGGAAGTGTGAATTGCTCATTACTCTATAATTTGTTCATGATTGTAGCCATGTATAAACGTAAGTAACCATTCTACAGAATGTATCTAGTTCAGCTATCAAAACTTTGGGGGCCCAGTCCCTGGACCCAATACGTACCTCTGTAATCTGTAAATACCTTTGTAACTTGTCATGATTGTGACCAGACCTACCTGGAGTTCATTACCTTTGTAAATTGTGAGTTCATTACCTTTGTAAATTGTGAGTTCATTACCTTTGTAAATTGTGAGTTCATTACTTTGTAAATTGTGAGTTCATTACCTTTGTAAATTGTGAGTTCATTACCTTTGTAAATTGTGAGTTCATTACCTTTGTAAATTGTGAGTTCATTACCTTTGTAAATTGTGAGTTCATTACCTTTGTAAATTGTGAGTTCATTACCTTTGTAAATTGTGAGTTCATTACCTTTGTAAATTGTGAGTTCATTACCTTTGTAAATTGTGAGTTCATTACCTCTGTAACTTGCTCAGCTATCAAAACTTTGGAGTCCAGTCCCTGGACCAATTATGTACCTCTGTAATCTTTTGACTACCGCCCACAGGATGGGTATGGGGTGCATAATAAACATATTAAACTAAACTAACTCATAAAAATCTTTGAAAGGGCCCTAAGAAGCAAGATCGTCATCCATCTAGATACCCATCAATTACACAACCCAGGGCAACATGGGTTTAGAGCAGGTCGCTCCTGTCTGTCCCAACTACTGGATCACTATGACAAAGTCCTAGATGCACTAGAAGACGAAAAGAATACAGATGTAATATACACAGACTTTTGCAAAAGCCTTCGACAAGTGTGACCATGGCATAATAGCGCACAAAATGTGTGCTAAAGGAATAACAGGAAAAATTGGTAGATGGATCTACAATTCCCTGATAAATAGAACACAAAGAGTAGCTCTGTTCCGCAAGGCACAGTGCTCGCTCCCATCTTGTTTCTTATCTTCATATCTGACATAGACAAGGATATAAGCCACAGCCACTTTTCTGGGTTATCCTAGGTTCTCTACACATATGCTGCTATGTATTATAATTCTATGTAACTGTATTTGTGTATACCTGAATAAACTTACTTACTTACTTACCGTGTCTTCCTTTGCAGATGACACCCGAATCTGCATGACAGTGTCTTCCATTGCAGACACTGCAAGTCTCCAGGCGGACATCAACCAAATCTTTCAATGGGCTGCAGAAAACAATATGAAGTTCAACGATGAGAAATTTCAATTACTCAGATATGGTAAACATGAGGAAATTAAAACTTCATCATAGTATAAAACAAATTCCAACCACACAATAGAGCGAAAAACTAACGCCAAAGACCTGGGAGTGATCATGTCGGAGGATCTCACCTTCAAGGTTAGTTTAATATGTTTATTATGCACCCCATACCCATCCTGTGGGCGGTAGTCAAAAGATTACAGAGGTACATAATTGGTCAAGGACCATAACATTGTATCAATCGCATATGCTAGAAAAATGACAGGATGGATAATAAGAACCTTCCAAACTAGGGATGCCAAACCCATGATGACACTCTTCAGGTCGCTTGTTCTGTCTAGGCTGGAATATTGCTGCACACTAACAGCACCTTTCAAGGCAGGTGAAATTGCTGACCTAGAAAATGTACAGAGAACCTTCACGGCACGCATGACTGAGATAAAACACCTCAATTAATGGGAGCGCTTGAAGTTCCTGAACCTGTACTCCTTGGAATGTTGGAGGGAGAGATATATGATTATATACACCTGGAAAATCCTAGAGGGACTAGTACCAAACTTGCACACAAAAGACTCGGCAGACGATGCAATATTCACCCAATGAAAAGCAGGGGTGTCACTGGCACGTTAAGAGACAACACAATAAGTGTCAGGGGCCCAAGACTGTTCAACTGCCTCCCAGCACACATAAGGGGGATTACCAATAGACCCCTGGCAGTCTTCAAGCTGGCACTGGACAAGCACCTAAAGTAGGTACCTGACCAGCCTGGCTGTGGTTTGTACGTTGGATTGCGTGATCAGGCCCTTATCCACCATGAGGCCTGATCATAGACCGGGCCGCGGGGGCGTTGACCCCCGGAACTCTCTCCAGGTAAACTCCAGGTAATAACAAGTGGCTTTCTATATAGTAGTATGTCATTGATGTTGGCTAGACCTTGTACATGTACTTGTAGAAATAAAGATATTGTTATTATTACATGCCGTCCCCGTTCACCTGTTACTTAGGTATTAGTCGACTGGTGTGGTGTGGATCCTGGGAGGCAAGTGTGGAAATTTATTTGTACCAAATCAAACCATACCACGGGTGGGGATAGAACCCGCGATCAGAGAGTCTCAAAACTCCAGACCGTCGCGTTAGCCACTGGACCAGCTAGCCACAATAAGATTCGTCCAACTAGGTATATTTCTACACCATAGAAAGGTTAGCATAGGCACCACTGTGACCACAAATGCAAGTTTTTACAGACGAATATCCAGCTAACGTGGCCGTGACGAATTCTATCTCAAGTCCCCTCAAAGCCGTTTTGAGACTCTGATCGCGGGTTCTATCCCCACCCGTAGTATGGTTCGCTTGCAATCGTGTCATTACGATTTCGTGAGTCTTGTACCAAATCCCCAAACCCTGGCAATCACTGTTGACACAACAAGATTGAAGGACAACAATGGAAATAAGACAGTCCTCAATGACGCACTGACTTTCTTGAGTTATCCTAGGTGGCTAACCCTTCCCCAGGCTGAAAGTCCGAACCAATCTTATTTAAAGGGTTCAGTGAGCATCTGGACAGTTTGTATACGACTCCTCGGGCCGCGCTGCCCTTAATATCAACAACACTAACAGCGTGCACCGTTCGTTGGCTGTGGATTCTGTGACGTGGGATATTTATTTGTTTTGGCAGTAATCGATAGTGAAGCAAAAATTGTATGTGCCTCCACATATGTCAGAAAGACGTACTTTACTGTGACATTTCTTGTTAAATTATGGCTGGCGCCTTAAAGTCGTATGTTGAGAAATATCTGCTGAACCCAGCGGCTTCATTCAACGTTGATGATGAAGACAATCATGGTAAATTTTTATTTATTTAGGCTAGCCCAATTCACATATATTATTGTACATACAGGTAGTTATTAAATAATTGGATATTACAAGGACCCCAATGGAAATAAGTCCGACTTTGGGGTCTGAGTTTTTTGGGTTATCCTAGGTAATTTGCACTTATGTTAATATGTATGATAGTAACATCTGGAAAAGACTCGGGTCGGGAGAGTACTGGTGAATCAAGAAGAAGAAGTTGTAAGAAATACGATATATGAGTTTGTTTGGACTTTTAGCCCCAGTGTTAACCACCCAGGATAACCCGAAAGAGTCTGTGCGTTATCGAGGACTGTCTGTCTTATTTCCATTGGGGTCCTCAGTCTTGTCCCCCAGGTTGCGACCCACCAGTCAACTAATGCTCAGGTACCTACTTGTTTGCAAAATGAACGGGACAACAGGTGTAAGGAAACACCCAATGTTTCCACCCTTGCCGGGGGTCGAAACACAAACACTCAGTGTGTACAGCAAGATCATTACCTACCAGGGCATGAAAAACCTAAATTTGTGAAACTGTAATTGTATCTGTACCAGTAGAAGCTTAATTGATAGATTTAGGCCATTAATTACACTAGACAAAAATTGTTAGGTCTGCTACTGAGATAAGTGTAAGTGTTTTTATGTAATGTAAGACACTGATTCCAAATTTGAGGTTGAAATTGAGCTAACATGTCAGTATTTTTAGGTATTGTAAAATATATGATTTCAAGAATTGTTTATGAATCATGTTCCTTCAAAATTTGCACCACAGGTAATATAATATTAAAAACTTATTCCCTATTACAAAGTCACTGCTCAAGAGCTTCAAGGACATTAAGCAACACATTCTCACTGGAAATAGAAAATATTAAAAAAAAAAAAATTAATCATTTGGCTTTATGCTTATGACTAACAGTGATGCCTCTGTCTGAAGAAACCAACACTAGTCCCACAAACTGTGATTGTGTGATCACAAAATTCAACTTCAGTAACAGAAAGATACAATGGGAGCAAGTCAACCATGTCCTAAATGAAACAAGCTGGGAAGATATCCTAAACAACGTGGACCCGAAACTTTGCCTAGAAAAAAATAACACTGGCACTTGAGGTCTGCTTGCACAAGAAATACTTACTTTTGTGATGTACATAGGTTCTATGTAGTGTAAAATGTAAATTAATACTATCTGAGTTTTGCCAAGTAACAGTAGTAGTTGTAAACTATAGCCCAGAACTATGCTGCATAATCCAAATGAGGGCCTCACTAAGTAGCATAATCTTTGGCTCCCTTTTGTTCATACAGTAGTGCCCCCGTATCCACGGGGGATACATTCCAAGGCCTACTGTGGATACCTGAAACCGTGGATAGTAACGAACCTTATATGTGTCATTTTTCGTTCACATACATACGGCTCTGATCCACCAGGAGGCCTGATCACAGACCGGGCCGCGGGGGTGTTGACCCCCGGAACTCTCTCCAGGTAAACTCCAGGTAATACCTATCATAAAGTTTAATTAATAAATTATGCAAAATAAGTTTAGAAGTAGCACCTTTTCACGACTTCTTTTAGGCTTTGAAAAACTGCTAGTGTCATTACTTTTGCATTTTTGGGCCATTATTAATCAAAATTAAGGGTTATTTTTGGGCCACAGTAAACTGTGGATAACTGAAACCACGGATACCAAATCAGGGGTTCTACTGTACTTCTTTATATATATAAATCCAAACAGTCCATAAATTTATTGTGGATGCTTCGGCACTGCTCTCTTGGTTTCAGATTTATAGGTACTGTGCATAATTCCCAGATATAAGTAGATGGTATGGGAATATTGACAAGTTGTAATTGATAGAGACACAAGCAACAATTGGAAACTTTGTTTAAGAAAATTTTTTGTTTGTTCTGGATAGATATATTCAGCATTTATTCCAATGTTATCACCCCTTTCCCAGAAAGATGCACCCTATCCCTTGCGTACATATAATGTTTGCTGTAGAAATTATCCTAGTTGTTAGTGAATGGAATTGCAAGTTGCTTGCAGTGCTTATCTAATCAGCAATTTACACCATTTGCTTTAGACATTAATTCACCTCCTATTTTGACAGAATGGTAGATGTATATGATTGGGGCCCCTCCCTCTGACCTAATTAGATCAATAGTTGTCCTATACTTTGCCAGCAGTTCTTCAACCCTGTTGCTTTCAATATCATTGCCTCCAGCACTAAGGCAGATAATGGGGTTATTCCCATTAACTGATATCATGTTGTTTATCCTGTAAACTAGTACATTTGTACCAGCTCCAGGAAAATACACCTATGTCTTGCATTAAGAAAACTAATTCGTTAATAGTACATTTGCAGTGTTGATTATTTTCTTATTTTCTTTCTCTATTACTTTTCTCTTATTCAGACTATATCACTGATCTCAGAGATTATGCATAGGGTTTTATATTTTTTCCCATATACGTATACCACGTGTTATACTTCGGTTTCTTTTAGAATCCCTTTACTCACATCAGCAATTTCAAAAATTGAGCCCTCAGGCCTATTTAGTTTTTTTACTTCAATAGAAATCTATTGTAACCATTTATTATCTGCCACTTCTTTGCTTTTATTCTGATCTTGACTTCTTTATGGACACTATTGTAGCTCTTTTCCTCTTCACAAGCTCTGTTTCTCATTGAATGTGACAAAAAATGACAAACTTGCTGAAGGCCAACTTTCCTCACCTGCCAGAAAGCACAATCCCTCCAAACAGAGCCAGTCAGGAGAGTTCTTTAATATTTTTCTATGACTAGAGAACACTGGTGAGATCACCAGCATTCATAATTTTTGTGTATGAAATATTTTTCTTATGTACTTTATTGTTGTTGTCTTCTCTTCTCAATAGAAACAAAAGCCCAAGTTGTGGATGTCATAGCAGACAGTGAACGAGCTGATCCAAATCAGCAAACTCTGAGTAAGCTAAGAGCAAGAAGTGCAGCTTCTCAACTCGATAAAGATCCTCGCTACAAAGGGAAAAAGGTATTACGGGAAAACTTGAAGAAGGATAAAGAGGATGATTATGACCCTGAGCTTGCAAAATACTTTCTTATTGATGATATGGATGATGATGGAACTGAAGAGGACACTGCAGATGATGAAGAGGGAGTAGTTGATGAAAATTCCACAGAAGGTGAAGAAAGCAGTGATGATAGTGAAAAAGAGGATGAAATGAAAAAGCAAATACACAAGCAGCTTCAGAATGAACCAGAAGGTGTTACGTAAGTTGGAACACAGCATTTTTTCTTATTACAGAAGTAATACTGTTATTTTACTTATAATTTCCTCAGGGCATAGTGGTATTACAATGTAAATCAGAGGAAAATAAAAATGAAAATACAATTGATTGTCGATTAACCCTTTCCCCCTCTGTCACGTAGAAATATGTCTTGGAGACCAGGGTCCATGATGTAGTTCTACATCATGAGCTCAGCTCACTCAGATAATCTGTGAGCAGTAAATTTTAGCCTGGATTTGAAAGAATGGGTCTGTGTGATGAGTGTGCACCATATAATGAAAAATCTTTCCCCATTCAGTTCATGATGGGGAAAAAAAAAACTGTTTCCTATTATGCTTTCCGTTCTGTCAACTGAGCACAAGAAACTGCCCATTCATTTATTTCATCTACTCTATAAAGTGCACAGAAGTCTGTACAGTGGACCCCCGCATAACGGACGCCTTGCATAACGGACAATCCGCATAGCGGACGCTTTGATCGCTAAAATTTTGCCCCGCATAGCGGACAAAAACCCGCTCAGCGGCCTTCGTCCGAGACGCGTCCAATGTGCGCCCTCAGCCAGCCTCACATGTGCCACCGGTGGCATTGTTTACCAGCCAGCCTCCGCGGTAACATCCAAGCATACAATCGGAACATTTCGTATTATTACAGTGTTTTTGGTGATTTTTTTCTGGAAAATAAGTGACCATGGGCCCCAAGATAGCTTCTAGTGCCAACCCTACAGCAATAAGGGTGAGAATTACTATGGAGATGAAGAAAAAGATCATTGATAAGTATGAAAGTGGAGTGCTTGTCTCCGAGCTGGCCAGGTTGTATAATAAACCCCAATCAACCATCGCTACTATTGGTGGTACAGCTGCTGCTGCTGCTGTACCACCGTCAGCTGCTGCTGCTGCTGTAGTACCGTCTGCTGCTGCTGTAGCATCGTCTGCTGCTGCTGCTGTAGCATCGTCTGCTGCTGCTGCTGCTGCTGTAGCATCGTCTGCTGGTGCTGTAACCTCGTCAGTTGCTGCTGTAGCATCGTCTGCTGCTGCTGCTGTAGCATCGTCTGCTGCTGCTGCTGCTGCTGTAGCATCGTCTGCTGGTGCTGTAACATCGTCAGTTGCTGCTGTAGCATCGTCTGCTGCTGCTGCTGTAGCATCGTCTGCTGCTGCTGCTGCTGCTGTAGCATCGTCTGCTGGTGCTGTAACATCGTCAGTTGCTGCTGTAGCATCGTCTGCTGCTGCTGCTGCTGTAGCATCGTCTGCTGCTGCTGCTGCTGCTGCTGCTGTAGCATCGTCTGCTGCTGCTGCTGCTGCTGTAGCATCGTCTGCTGCTGCTGCTGTAGCATCGTCTGCTGCTGCTGCTGCTGCTGTAGCATCGTCTGCTGCTGCTGCTGCTGCTGCTGTACCACCGTTGTTGGTGTGGCTTATTGAGAATACCAAGAAACAATTAATCCCAGAGGATTTGCCACCCAGGATAACCCAAAAAAGTCAGTGTCATCGAAGACTGTCTAACTTATTTCCATTGGGGTCCTTAATCTTGTCTCCCAGGATGCAACCCACATCAGTCGACTAACACCCAGGTGAACAGGGAAAATGCCTGGAACTAGTGCTCATATTGGTGAATTTAGAGCCAGCAAAGGTTGGTTTGAGAGATTTAAGTATCGTAGTGACATACACAGTGTGATAAGGCCTGTTCTGGAAGAAAATACCAAACAGGACCTACAGTACTCAGGAGGAAAAGGCACTCCCAGGACACAGTGTCTCATCAGTCATTGCTGCATCTTCAATAAAGGTAAGTGTCATTTATTCTTCATTTAGTAGAGTAGTACATGCACAATATATATTGTGCATGTACTACTCTACTTTTGTGCATGTATCCTTCTCTTTGTGTGTAGGAAAATGTCTATTTCATGTGGTAAAATTTTTGTTTTCATACTTTTGGGTGTCTTGCACGGATTAATTTTATTTCCATTATTTCTTATGGGGAAAATTCATTCACATAGCGAACATTTCGCATAACAGCCAGCCCTCTTGCACGGATTAAGGTCGCTATGCGGGGGTCCACTGTATTTTGGCCAATTTTACACAAAAATTAAAAACATGCCTATGTAAAAATAGAGTCCATAATAAACAATGTAGATATTCCTGGCACTAAAACAACATTTCTTCTGTTCATTAGTCACATCCCAGGCCTCTCCTATATTACACTTGCCTTCCATTTTGGATTCTTGTTGACACAAAAATCGAAGATTTACTCTGTTTCTCATATAATAATATAGGAAAGATTGGTTGTGGTTTACAGTGCCCCAATAATTGAATCAAACCTATTAAAAACCCATAAAACAGATTGGGGGTTGTAGGAGGCCTTACCCATTCTCTGATATACATGTATTAGCAAAAATTTAATATTTCTGCTACTTTAGGCTCAGTTTCAAGCTACTTCCACTACTGAAACCGATCAAAATATTTCTATTTCAGTAGTATGTCTTCCATTCTATCTAGTGATTCCAAGAAACAGCTGATAAAACCATAAACACCATCCAAGAAAACACCTCAGAGTCACTACTTTAAAACCATACTCACTGTGCACAGTCAATGCACAGACCCATTCTCTTATATCTATGCCAAAATTTACTGCTCACAGCTTATCTGAGTGAGCTGAGCTCATGATGTAGAACTAACTATGCTAGGAACCCTGGCCTCAATGACTTGGTTCTACATGATGGACAGTGAAAGGATTAAATAGGCCTTCTTCATAAGACAGTGGCCTCGCCCATATTCTCAACTGTAAGATGGAGAGGACAGAACCCACAGCATGTTATATTTTCCCTAAAATTTACTCCATGTAAATGATAAATACAGCCTCTCCTCACTTAACGACGGAGTTCCGTTCCTAAGACCACGTAGGTAAACAAATTCGTCATTAAGCAAGAAGCATACTATAGTGGTAGTGGGTTTGTGTCAACCATCTTTGATATTGTTTAAATGTCACCTTTGCACCATTTATAACATTTTTAGTATATTTTTAAATGTTTATACAGTAGTGTACTGTATATTGTAATAGACAGAATAGAGGAAATCAACTCTAATATACATCATTTAGGTACATATGCATACTGGTCAGAGAGCCCATCGTAAGTCCAAGTCGTCGCTAAGTGAGGAGAGGCTGTACTGCATGTTCATTGAAAATATACCACAAATTTTCAACCTTGTTAATGTCAAAGTGTGAATAGATTGCGTGTTAATTTCCATTCTTCTGTACTATTCTTAATATTATATATTACATATTCTACAGTAAGGTTCTTGTTTATATTATTAACTAGAGCTTGTTTATTGTTTGTGTGCAGTTAAATACTACTGTGTAACTTTGTTGAGTATAGATGCTCCTTGACTTACGACAGGGTAACATTCTGACGAATCCATTATAAGTTGAAAATATTGTAAGTCTGATATGAATAATGTGCTAAATAAATAACTAAATAAATAATTACTGTCACCAAATAAGCAAAGAAACAAATAAGCCCTGTAACTAATTGCTTTTGCACTATCATAAAGTTGAAATGTAAGTTGAGCATCTGTATAATGTAGAAATAAGTTAATTAGTATCTATAAGATGGTTTTCTTTTTATTTAGCATCTGTATCATTTAAATACACAGTAAATTCATATGTTAAGTGTCAGTTTCAGTACGCTGTGCTTTTCTTCAGTCCAGCATTTGCTGAAAATTGCATGGAAAATTTAGAATACTGTATAGTAAAGGAAATTTTTCTAAAGATTTTCACAAATACTATTGTACTGTATGTTTTTTTCTTTAATGGTAAGTTGTTCAGCATCGTCTAATGTTCCTCCTGAATACTCTTTTAAGGTTTATAGATGACGGTGATTTTAGTAAGTTTGCTGATGATTTTGATGAGGGAGATGAAAGTAAGGATGAAGATGAGGATGATGATAATGAAGACGAGGAGGAGAGTGATGATGACAAGGATGACGATGATGATGATGATGCAGAGAAAGAGAGTGAAGCACAAAATAGACAAGAAGATTCTCTCAAGAAGTTTAGCACTGAGAATCAGTGTGAGGAAGTAAAGAAGAGTCTAGCTGTGAAGAACCAGCTGGGTATGTACTGAAATTCTTACTCTGTGATTAGATAACTACAATATTCATTTGGCAGACAACATAACATACAGCAGCTCAATTATTTATTTAGTGTGCTTAACACTATTTAAACTGCTTTAACTCTAAAAATAATATGTAGCATTGTCTTGGCATTATAGTCTAATATATAGGAAACTATACTAATAAAAGAATGTGAATGATTGGCATGAAAATATAGAAATCAGCTGTTCATAAGATTTAATGAGTAATATTCTTCGGTAACTTCTAATACTTACCATAGCCACACATTTTCTTGTACACTTTATTATTTGATATATTCATGTATTCTCCTTGCAGCATTGTATGACTCTTTGTTTGAGGGAAGAATACGTCTGCAAAAAGTGATGGTTGGAACTAATCAGCTACCGCAGTTTAACACACACAAGCTCTTTCTGCGGGAGATTGATCAACACTATAAAAAGAACCTTGTTACTGCAAAGACAGCAGCCAAAAAATTACTCGACACACTTTTACATGTTCAGGTATTACTGTTATTAGACCTCTGATTTTGTGGTGTTTGTTATTATTGGCTTTTATTTCATTGAAACAATCTGCATTGTGGAAATCTGACAAAGTTGCAATGTTTCTCTAATTTTATTTTAATTAGTCCCATTTGTATTCTCTAGAATGGAATATTGTTGTTCATTAACATCCCAATTTAACCCGTAAACACCTCCCTCCTCCTCCTCCTCCTCCTCCTCCTCCTCCTCCTCCTCCTCCTCCTCCTCCTCCTCCTCCTCCTCCTCCTCCTCCTCCTCCTCCTCCTCCTCCTCCTCCTCCTCCTCCTCCTCCTCCTCCTCCTCCTCCTCCTCCTCCTCCTCCTCCTCCTCCTCCTCCTCCTCCTCCTCCTCCTCCTCCTCCCTCCTCCTCCCTCCTCCTCTCCCTCCTCCCTCCTCCTCCTCCTCTCCCTCCTCTCCTCCTCCCTCCCCTCCTCCTCCCTCCTCCTCCCTCCTCCTCCCTCCTCCTCCCTCCTCCTCCCCCTCCTCCCTCCTCCTCCCTCCTCCTCCCTCCTCCTCCCTCCTCCTCCCTCCTCCTCCCTCCTCCTCCCTCCTCCTCCTCCTCCTCCCTCTCTCCTCCTCCTCCTCCCTCCTCCTCCCCTCCCTCCCCTCCTGCTGCGCTGCTGCTGCTGCTGCTGCTGCTGCTGCTGCCTGCTGCTGCTGCTGCTGCTGCTGCTGCTGCTGCTGCTGCTGCTGCTGCTGCTGCCTGCTGCTGCTGCTGCCTGCTGCTGCTGCTGCTGCTGCTGCTGCTGCTGCTGCTGCTGCTGCTGCTGCTGCTGCTGCTGCTGCTGCTGCTGCTGCTGCTGCTGCTGCCTGCTGCTGCTGCTGCTGCTGCTGCTGCTGCTGCTGCTGCTGCTGCTGCCTGCTGCTGCTGCCTGCTGCTGCTGCTGCTGCTGCTGCTGCTGCTGCTGCTGCTGCTGCTGCTGCTGCTGCTGCTGCTGCTGCTGCTGCTGCTGCTGCTGCTGCTGCTGCTGCTGCTGCTGCTGCTGCTGCTGCTGCTTGCTGCTGCTGCTGCTGCTGCTGCTGCTGCTGCTGCTGCTGCTGCTGCTGCTGCTGCTGCTGCTGCTGCTGCTGCTGCTGCTGCTGCTGCTGCTGCTGCTGCTGCTGCTGCTGCTGCTGCTGCTGCTGCTGCTGCTGCTGCTTGCTGCTGCTGCTGCTGCTGCGCTGCTGCTGCTGCTGCTGCTGCCTGCTGCTGCTGCTGCTGCTGCCTGCTGCTGCTTGCTGCTGCTGCTGCTGCTGCTGCTGCTGCTGCTGCTGCTGCTGCTGCTTGCTGCTGCTGCTGCTGCTGCTGCTGCTGCTGCTGCTGCTGCTGCTGCTGCTGCTGCTGCTGCTGCTGCTGCTGCTGCTGCTGCTGCTGCTGCTGCTGCTGCTGCTGCTGCTGCTGCTGTGCTGCTGCGTGCTGCTGCTGCTGCTGCTGCTGCTGCTGCTGCGCTGCTGCTGCTGCTGCTGCTGCTGCCTGCTGCTGCTGCTGCTGCTGCTGCTGCTGCTGCTGCTGCTGCTGCTGCTTTGAATACATACTTTGTATGTATTCAAAGACAATAGTAAATGCCCAAGGTAGGTGTAAATGTCCACCTGTCAGTGTGCTTGTGACAATGTAAGTACAATTTCAGTACCTAATACAGTGGACCCTCGACCAACGATATTAATCTGTTCCTGAGAGCTCATTGTTAGTCGAAATTATCATTACTCGAGTTAATTTTCCCCATAAGAAATAATGGAAATCAAATTAATCCATTCCTGACACCCCAAAACATTGAAAAAAAAAAAAAATTTTACCACATGAAATATTAATTTTAATACACACAAACTGAAGAAGACATGTACAATTACATGACACTTACCTTTATTGAAGATCTGGTGATGATTGATGGGATGGGAGGAGGGGAGAGTGTGGATAGTGTTAGTGTTTAGAAGGGGAATCCCCTTCCATTAGGACCTGAGGTGTCAAGTCCTTTTCTGGGGTTACTTCCCTTCTTCTTTTAATGCCACTAGGACCAGCTTGAGAGTCAATGGACCTCTGTCACACAACATATCTGCCCATAGAGCTCTGTACCTACCGTTCCTTTACGATTTGTCTAAAATGGGCCACAACATTGTCATTGTAATAGTCACCAGCATGGCTTGCAATAGCTGTGTTAGGGTGATTTTCATCCATAAAGGTTTGCACTTCAACCCACTTTGCACACATTTCCTTAATCTTTGAAGTAGGCACAATGGATTCCACAACTGGCATAGGCATCTCAGGGTTATCCCCAAACCCTTCAAAATCTTTCTTAATTTCCATACTAATTCTCACCCTTTTTATCACAGGGATGGCACTAGAAGCTTTCTTGGGGCCATGGTGACTTATTTTGCAGGTGCAATCACTAAAGACGCTGTGATAATATGAAATGTTCCGATTGTATGTTTGGATGCGACCGCGGTGGCTGGCTTGTAAACACTGCGCAGGCCACATATGGACACGTCTCGAACGGAATGAATCGCGTTGGTCGAGTATTTTAGCGCTAGTCGAGGCAAAATTTTTGCGTTAAAATGTATCGCTAGTCGGCTTTAACATTATAAATGCCATCGTTGGTCGAGGGTCCACTGTACTAGTGTCAGAACAAGGATTGTATGAAATGACAAGAACTACTATAAATTGTAATTTTTTTTTTTTTTTTTTTTTTTTTTTTTTTTTTTTTTTTTTCAACAAGTCGGCCGTCTCCCACCGAGGCAGGGTGACCCAAAAAAGAAAGAAAATCCCCAAAAAGAAAATACTTTCATCATCATTCAACACTTTCACCACACTTGCACATTATCACTGTTTTTGCAGAGGTGCTCAGAATACAACAGTCTAGAAGCATACACATATAAAGATACACAACATATCCCTCCAAACTGCCAATATCCCAAACCCCTCCTTTAAAGTGCAGGCATTGTACTTCCCAATTCCAGGACTCAAGTCCGACTATATGAAAATAACGGTTTCCCTGAATCCCTTCACTAAATATTACCCTGCTCACACTCCAACAGATCGTCAGGTCCCAAGTACCATTCGTCTCCATTCACTCCTATCTAACACGCTCACGCACGCTTGCTGAAAGTCCAAGCCCCTTACCCACAAAACCTCCTTTACCCCCTCTCTCCAACCCTTTCGAGGACGACCCCTACCCCGCCTTCCTTCCCTATAGATTTATATGCTTTCCATGTCATTCTACTTTGATCCATTCTCTCTAAATGACCAAACCACCTCAACAACCCCTCTTCTGCCCTCTGACTAATACTTTTATTAATTCCACACCTTCTCCTAATTTCCACACTCCGAATTTTCTGCATAATATTTACACCACACATTGCCCTTAAACAGGACATCTCCACTGCCTCCAACCGTCTCCTCGCTGCTGCATTTACCACCCAAGCTTCACACCCATATAAGAGTGTTGGTACTTTCTATACTTTAATACATTCCCTTCTTTGCCTCCATAGATAACGTTTTTTGACTCCACATATACCTCAACGCACCACTCACCTTTTTTCCCTCATCAATTCTATGATTAACCTCATCCTTCATAAATCCATCCGCCGACACGTCAACTCCCAAGTATCTGAAAACATTCACTTCTTCCATACCCTCCTCCCCAATTTGATATCCAATTTTTCTTTATCTAAATCATTTGACACCCTCATCACCTTACTCTTTTCTATGTTCACTTTCAACTTTCTACCTTTACACACATTCCCAAACTCATCCACTAACCTTTGCAATTTTTTCTTTAGAATCTCCCATAAGCACAGTATCATCAGCAAAAAGTAACTGTGTCAATTCCCAATTTGAATTTGATTCCCCATAATTTAATCCCACCCCTCTCCCAAACACCCTAGCATTTACTTCCTTAACAACCCCATCTATAAATATATTAAACAACCATGGTGACATTACACATCCCTGTCTAAGACCTACTTTTACCGGAAATAGTCTCCCTCTCTTCTTACACACCCTAACCTGAGCCTCACTATCTTCATAAAAACTCTTTAAGCATTTAATAACTTACCACCTATTCCATATACTTGCAACATCTGCCACATTGCTCCTCTATCCACTCTACATATGCCTTTTCTAAATCCATAAATGCAATAAAAACTTCCCTACCTTTATCTAAATACTGTTCACATATATGCTTCAATGTAAACACTTGATCTACACATCCCCTACCCACCTGAAACCTCCTTGCTCATCCGCAATCCTACATTCTGTCTTACCTCTAATTCTTTCAATTATAACCCTACCGACACTTTTCCTGGTATACTCGTAAGCTTATTCCTCTATAATTTTTTACAGTCTCTTTTGTCCCCTTTTTCCCTTTATATAAGGGACTATACATGCCTCCCCGCCAATCCCTAGGTACCTTCCCCTCTTTCATACATTTATTGAACAAAAGTACCAACCACTTCCAACACTATATCCCCCCTGCTTTTAACATTTTTTGTCATGATCCCATCAGTACCACTGCTTTACCCCCCTTCATTTTACGTAATGCCTCACGTACCTCCCCCACACTTACATTCGCTCTTCTTCACTCCTAAAAGATGGTATACCTCCCTGCCCAGTGCATGAAATTACTGCCTCTGTTTTTTTCCTTAACATTTAAAAGTTCCTCAAAATATTCTCGCCATCTACCTAATACCTCCATCTCCCCATCTACTAACTCCCCTACTCTGTTTTTAAAACTAAACCAAATCCATATTTTCCCTTGGCTTTCTTAACTTGTTTAACTCACTCCCAAAATTTTTTTCTTATTTTCATTAAAATTTCTTGACAGTGCCTCTCCCACTCTATCATCTGCTCTCCCTTTTGCACTCTCTCACCACTCTCTTTTACCTTTTTTTTACTCTCCATATTCTGCTCTTCTTATAACACTTCTGCTTTGTAAAAACCTCTCATAAGTTTAACCTTTTTCCCCTTTTATCACACCCTTTACTTCATCTTTTCCACCAATCACTCCTCT